AAAAAAATTTTGATGATGCCTTGAATAATGTTTGATGATCAGGTGTGTTGAGGAATTATATTGAACATCTAATTATATCCTACTTTTGCAGATTGCGACTGTTCAAAATGAGGAAAAAGTTTCATTTTTCTTCGAGAATATCAAAACATTTAGAGTTCTTTTCTCGAAGAATACTAAGATTTTTCTTGAGATAAATACCGAGTACTTTCTTGCACCAAAACTATTATACTAAATTTGGCATATAAATGACATTGAAGAAAAACGAAAGATTACCACAGATACTTTATACTAATTTTTCTGATACAGGTATTTATTTCAGCATGACTTCTACTGTAAAGTGTTATAATAAAATATTCCTTCCTGTTTTGGATATTTATTAGGGAAAACAATAAATTTCGAAAATATGTGTTCATGAGTTATTTCTAATTCAAACTTTTTATAATATAAGTAGATGTTTGGAACAACTCCAGACTGAAATCGATACAAAAATTTTATTTGGCTCATTTTTTTCTTTTTCAACTCAAAACCTAACTTTATAGCATGAAGTTAGTTCTATAGAATTCCTTATCTAATTATATATTTACATAGCAGAAAAACATCATCAATTTAAACAAGTTATGAATGATGAAAATATTGATTTTGTTTAGTGCAAACATCATTTAATGCAAGCTTAATGCACCACTACATAAAGGAATAATTAGTGTCAAAGCTTTTGTATCCTACGTTATCTTGATAACTTTAGAGATGATTATTGAATTGTTCATCTATGAAATTTGTATTTGAGCTTCGATACAGTTAGTTTTTGAATTACTTTAAAAGTAATTCAGTAGAAGTCACTTTTACTTTCCTTGTAGCTACGCTTATTAAACCTAACAATAATTCTTATTTAGTTTATTTTTTCTCATGATTTAATATATCACTACAGTCGAAACAACGAAAAAAAAACACCGATCAGAATATTCAGTCACTGAACTATTTCATAAGTTGTTATAAAACAAGATAGACAACAAGAAAGAATAAATAATGTGTTTGAAACTTTTGACTTGATAGTAAATGAGATATCACCACGAGTTTCACTAGTAGATCAGAACTTTATGAGCACACGCATTTTCGATTCGTTTCAGTTGTTAAATGAGTCAAAATTTTCTGAATATCTTTAGTTTAATTATGAAAAATTCTCATTTGAAATACTTACTTGTCTTTTGATCATACATTCATTTGTTTACTTGAATCGAAACTATTCGACCATTCCTATTCTAATAAATGAATTGAACAATTAATTTTTTTTTGTTAAATGTTTATTAAATTCTAAATTAAAAAAAGTTCCACCTACTCGTTTCTTTGCTTTATGAAGACCACTAAAATTTAAACATATAATAAGTGAAGACTAAAATAAAAATTGAATATTACAGTTTTTTTTAAGTTACTTTATCAATTAAATATTGATCAACCGAAAATTGCTTTAGTTAACTGATAAAATTCATCGGTTTTTTTATTTCATGATGTTGAAATCAATCATAACGATGAAGATACATGTATGACCATAAATTGAACAAAGTATTCCAAATTGCTCAGTTTCTTTAATTAGAAAAATTTTTATTTAAATAAAAAATAGAGATTGTGTCAAAGCAACTCATTGAAGATTATAATGTAAAACTTACATGTATTCTTTCGTCTCATTATACTCATACAACATACTTGAAATGAAAAATTTCTACCAGACTATGAGGGATCAAGAGAAATCGAATTTTAGTCAATTTTGCTTTTAAAGTTACTATGATTTTCATGTTTTCATTTTTGAATCTCTTAACTTCTTCTGGATGAGTTTCCTTCGCGATTCTCGAAAAGGATGTGGGTACTGGTATAGAGAAAACTATTCCAGAATTGAATCTTATCATATCTAAAAACGTCTTCAGTATTTTTTTTATTTATACGCTTAAAGTCATAGAATATTTAACTATAACTTTCACTTGCAGTTGGAACTACCGGTTTTTCTCATAGTTCCTACTATTAAAGTGAAAGTCTATAATGACCACATTCATAAATGATCACCAACAAGATGCCTTGAGAAAATGTGAAATAAATTCTAATGAGAATATTATGAATACGAATCTGACAAACTTCCGAATTTTCGTCTCACATATCTTTAAAACTTACATTCACTCTATTTTTCTTCAAAAAAGATGTGAGTTCCACAAAAAAAAACAAAAACAAAAACAATCAATAATAGTATCATCAATTATTAATGATAATGGATTAATATCAAATAAACTTTGAATATCCCTTCATATGTTCAAGACAATCGAAGAAAAGAATACCGAATTAAATGTGTTCGTATTATTGTTAATTTCTGTGAAAGTTCAATAAATTAAAATTTTTCTATATAATCACGATATGCATGAAGGAATTCTGACTAAAATTTAGTAACAATATACTTAATACTGTCGAAATCGTTTTCTTACTCGACAATTATCAATACGGTTAATCCACTGAATTAATTAATAATTGATAATCAATATATGCTGTTGATATAGATTTAAATAAACGTTGAATAGGTCATATCATGATAATGCAACAAAATATTTTTTACCTAATTGAGTTTTATGTTTACGAATCTATTTGAGAATAGTTTTTATTTTGTTACATTATCTATTCAATGAAATAAAATTACCTTATGATAAGTATAACAACGAGTATTCATTTTTTTTTAAATCTAATGTATGAATCACATCCATTGTTTTAGCATAAAGTTTTCTAAAATCTATTAGAAAAAAATAGTTCATTCGAAAATGAAGAACAGTGTCCGACAATTTAGTACGAGAAGAATTTCATTATAGTCTACGAAAACTGAAATACATCAAATCTCGTAAGGCTCGATATGCTTTCTTATTCAAAACTATTGTTTGACTATTGAGAAGTGAGTTCATATTCAGACTTTGCTATCGTATCGAACAATCAAACAATGTTTGTAGAAAAAGTATACATAGTTTTTTTCTTAAGTATATGACCAGTAAAGCCTTAGAAAAAATATCGAACCTGTGAGATTAGATCATTTTATAATATATATATATATTTTTTTTTTGTAAATTTAGCTTTTTCGATAATAACATTGTTCAAGTCTATTAACAACAGAATATTTTCACAAGTAACTCAACAGATGCTATAATTTCTTTTTTTTAACTAGTAAAATATATTTCATTGAATAATTATCTTACTTGAATAATATTTAATAACATTGTAAAATTAATATTAATTTTCATTCGATTTCTCTTATATTCCATTCCAATTAAATACTAATTATATATGTTAATATTTTGTTCTTTATAACCATATTGTCATCTAATACATACTCATTTTAATAGTTGTATTGAATAATAAATCAAGTAACGGACTATTAATCATATGTTGATGATGAAAATAATAATAATGAAGAAATCTGACGATGTTGTTGTTTAATTATTAGTTAAATTAATTGTACACATGGATTTATCAAGATTATTCATTAAACATAAAATTCTCCAAATCACTAAAAACATTATTATATATACATTTTTTAATCTTTTTTCTTTGTTGATCTTTATGTGTATAGAATAGATATGTCGATATAAATAAATTTTTATTCAAAAGAAGAATATATCTTGTTTCATTCTTTTCTGTTGTAATAAATTCACCTAACAAAGAAAGATTTTTTCAAACTTCTGTAATAGATTATTTTGATCTAAAATTTTGTTGATATTTAGATATGTTCATCCAAAAAGAATATTATTGTAAAAATGTAAGTGTTTAAAAACTTCCATTGTTTTGTTTTTTTCGACAGTCTATGAAATTGAATCAACTTTTTTAACATTAAGTATGTTCTACTTAAGTAATAGTTCGTCTGATGTAATATATTTTGTATTTTATCATAACAAATAAAATAATTATACATAAATGTTGTTATTGATTATCATTAATAAAAATAAACAAAACAATTTCATATTCATTCCAAATGAGATACAATCTAAAAAAATTCATAAATAAATCATTATGTGTGTTAATGTTAACAAGAGAGAAAGAAAAGAAAAAAGAAATATATGTGAAGAGAGGAATTTTCTTTTTCTTTTTTGTCTTTCTCTCGTCCATAAATCATTGTTCATGTTGTCATCATTGACGATCAATGATCAACATGTACAATTAAATATGTATATCATTTTCGACGAGAGAAAAAAATGATTTTTCAAGGTATATATATGAATGATTTTCTATGTAAAATCATTCAAATGTTTGAACCAAATAATAATCATTTTCTTTTTCTGTTTTAGATTGGCTTCAACCAAACAATACGAAACAATTCAACAACAAACCAGACAATAAAATAAAATGTAGGTATTGGTTTTACTTTTTTTTAATTTTACGATCATAAGGATGGCGGGGTAAGGCCTCTTTTGATCTTTTTATTATTTTATTTTAGGGAATGAACAATGAAGAAAAAGATAACATTAGGGTAAGTCATCTCATTCTATTTTATTAAATAACATCGATTAAATTTTTTTTTCTGTTTCTTTCAGCTATCAATATCATCGCGTCATCAACATCAGACACGGTAAGTAATTTTTTTTTTTTTTTGAGATGAGAATAGGTAGTGACATTGAGAGGTTAGGGTGATACTAAGAAAAGTGAGTGCTAGTGAGAGACAAGAGTGAGTTTTGTTCGTTGAGAGTTAGGGTTTCGCCTGTTATGAAGGACTTCCGGGTAGTCCCTAAAAGCTCGACCAGGAACTGTCTTGGTGTCCGTGGCACACGACCAGGCTTATTCAGACTCACTGACATATCTCTCGCGGGAGGGTATGAATGATATGAGTCTGTCCTGTGCGTGCATGAGCGTTACGCTCGCCACGGCTCCACCAGGATGGTTCCTGATCACGCGCGCGCGAATAGAATAAGCCATTCATTTCATCAATCTAATGCGATTTATTTGAAACGAAAGGAACGCAAAAAAAAAAATATCTCATCGTTTTGAGTCTATTCGATTGAGAATCGTTGAACACGATTATTATCACGATCGGCGACATGGAGATTGCCATATTGATCGAAGGACAAACCACGGAGATAGTTGAACTGATTTGCTCCTGCTCCTTCACCATTTCCACCCACAATGACAGTGCCCTGTTTCGCTCCTTTAGGCCAACGCATCACTCGATCATTCACCGTGTCTGCCACATAGATGGTGCCCAATGTATCGACGAACAGTCCGCCAGGATACGACAATTGTGTCAGGGCATTCCCTTTGCCTTGACCTCCAGCGACGACAATTCCTTCTTTTGCACCTTTATTCCATTTCATTACACGATGATTGTAGTTGTCTGACACGTAGACAGTCTGTTGTTGATCGACAAAGATGTAGGTCGGAGAGTTGAGTTGATTGAGACCATCACCTTCGCCATTGCCACCAGCTACTAGAGTTCCATTCTTGTCTCCTATTTGATATCGTCTTACTTCATGTTTTTCGTAGTCAGAGATGTAGAGATATCTCTGATCATCCATGGCCAATCCTTGACAACTGATGTTGTCGATGAGGATTTCTCCTTGAGTTGTGCCACTACGACGAGACCATCGTACGACTCGTTGATTGCCCCGGTCACAAATAATGAGACTATCCGTCTCTTTGTCAATCAATACATCGGTTGGACCATTCAATTGATCCAATCGATTTCCGTAGCCATTGCCACCAGCTACTACTTGTCCATTCGTATCGCCCATCTTCCATTGGATGATACGATGATTGTCGTAGTCAGCAATGACCATCGTTTGATCATCATCAACGAAGATACCATAAGGACAGCCGAGTTGATTGGTAGCATTGCCTTGTCCATGATCTCCAGCAACAGTCGTACCATTCTGTTTCCATCGGGCATCGGCTGGAATATTGAGAATTACTACAATGAACAAAAAAGAAAAGAAATCGTCGTTATCAAAGGGATCTCGTCTCTCGTGGGAGCAAGCGCTATAAATATGACATTCATCTTTGAGAATGCTCATTCCACAGATAAAAATTCAGAAGTCTTTTCCTAGTTTGCTAGGAGAAAAAAGGATTTGGTAACGATTCTTACATCTATGTTACTTCTAGTTTTTGCCAAGATCTTTTTGATCATAAAAATAACACCTGGAGATTGCTGTAAGGAGGTTCTCCAAGAAAGAGTAGTACTAATTCCATGTAAGTTTTTGGTAGAAAAACATAGAGATCTGAGGATTTTTTCAGAATTGCAAGAATTCAGAATCTTTTTGGCAGAATGATCATTTATATGAACATCAGAGAAGATTCTATCTGTATCTTGTGAGAAGAATATCGAATCGTTGAACAACAAAATATCAAACCTAATCCTTATGTTTTTTAGAAAACCTTAAGGATACATGATTTTCTGTATGATGAATGTAGATCTACTGAAGAATCTCCTAAGTATTTGCATAGAGAATGCCGGTGAAATTTTATAAGGCTTTTGGTAAGTTATGTCAAGCTGTTTGAAGAACAACTGTGATGTACTCTAAGGAAGATCATGAGAAGGTTTCGATACAGGCGAAATTGAACAAAGTTGATAGGATTCCACGCGAATCTATGTAATCTGAGAGGACTTTTACTTTTGCAAATGCTGAAAAGATGGATGTCAATCCGAACGGAGCTCTCCAGTGACAAACATTGGGATCTATGAATTTTATGGGCTTTGAAAAGAAAGTGTTCTAAAATGCTATTTTTAACTTTTGATGAACACCATCTTCAAATCATTGTATTAGGGTCCTCGAAGAGAATCTTGATGACTAAATAAGATACTCTGTCAAAATCGGAAAATCTAAAAATAATGAGTATCTTCTATGAGGATCATGCTATAATCCTTATGTAGTACTTGTTCTGAGAAGTCTTCTGTAAGCTCGCATGTAATGGATATGTTCAGGAGGATCTGAAGAGTAAGTATTTTGAAATGGTTGATATCAGAGATGGGCAATTCCAACTCTAAAGTTGATATTTTTTCTCATCAGAGTGAAAATGGAGTAGGAACAGGACAGAATGGAGGTGCCTATCTTTGAATTTTATGAGAAAGTTTATAAAGGAATAAATTAATATGCTACTAATTTATATCAATCGTAAATTTAATTATGTTCAAAAACTTATGTGTATTTAACCCTCGGATGCTCAAGCTAATTTTTGGAGATAATATGATAACATGTATTCATATTTCTATGATTTTGATTGCTGAACTGGTATTCTTGCCCAAATTAGATTGTTTTCCTCTTCAGTCTTGTAAAGTAATTATTAGAATTATAGTTTTCCTTTATTTAGAACAGTAAATACAACAAATTTCCTGAACAAAGTGCTCATCACAAATCGATCCTGGGAGGGTTTTCACTGAATTCTTCTGAACATAATGAATATCATAGGCACAAGGGCGGATATATATAATAGAAATCTCGGGACAATAATAATTTTCTCGAAGATTCTGAACAAGAATATTGAAAATAGAGTAGATGCGATGTCATGCACAAAAAGAATGCAAGAGAGAAGGGATATGCATGAGATGTAAAGTAGACAGGAAAGAAAAAAGAGAAATGTACTAGAAGAGATCAAAAAGAGACAGTGAAAATAGATGCATTTTTTTAAAGCTTTTGTCAGATTCAGAATAAAAGATGTCATTGAACATCTTATTAGATTCTGAGATTAAGAAATATATAAGAACAGAGTAAAGGACTCTGATCTGATTTTATCTGACTAAATAGAATTCATAAACAAAAGAAAGTTATAGCATTACATAATCCAAGTCTTATCTGCTCTTATTTGATTCTGTGTGATCTGTCGTGCCCTGTTACTTATTCGAGAGTTGTTGATTCAACAGTTTCTGTTATGGAGAAATGTACAAAATACACAAAATTATGAAATTATTTTTGACTTCACAAATAAATGGTTTGTATAATAGATTAGTCAAAATACAGGTATATCTCGGAAATTCTCACATCATAAAGAACGTTCGTCTTCACAAAATATTTCGACAGAAAAAATATCGATGTCCAAATTTTTCTAAAACTATCAAAAGATGAAAAATTAAGTTTTTTTCTATTATCCTCTACTGTACGCTGGCACATATATTTTTGTATTCGTTATTTTTCTATATTGATATCATTAATACAGAAATTATTTTATTTCATATGGTTTCTTTCTATATTGACAATATAGAAAATAATATATTAATTAATTTTTTTCTACCATATGCCTGGGAATATTTTTCTATATATATAATATAGAAAACGATATAATATTTGATTTATTTGAACTTATATGCTTATACATATATTTTTATTCTTAGTTTTCTATACTGATATTGATAATATAGGAAGCTTGTTAGCGTAGCCTCTTTGGGACTGAAATGTGAAACTCACATATATTCTCTAGCCTCATTAAACTAATACAAAATATGTAAAGTGAAAAATCTTTTGTAGACTATAGTTATTTTGTAGGATAATCGAACATCAGAGTAAGAGTGTTTCTAATGTCTGCATTTCGAACAGAAATTTTCTTTTTCTACGGGCACCCTATTTTTTATTTTGCATTGCTGCTATTCGCTCCTTATTATTCATTTTTTAAATTCGTTTTTCTTAATTTAACATTCTTATTATTATAATCATCGAATTAATTGGCAAATACATCTGTTTTACATATCTATTATATCTACAGCAGATCTTATGCACTATTATATATATATGTTAAGTAACTCAGAAACAATGATGTTGATTATCTTTCAAAATTATAACTTCATCAACTTTGCAAAAAAACTATAGAAAGTCTGACGCCTGTTATCTTCAATTGCTAAGATCCGTAATGAGAAGTTGTCTGTAATGGAGATGATGGTGAAGGGAGGGAAGGAAAGCCGCAAAAATTCGACTTAAAACTTACACTCACTATTTTCTTTAAAAATATGTAAGTTCCCCAAAACCACTGATATAGATGTATTTCAAACTCGACGTCCATGATTCTAATGAGAGACGACACTGAGTCTAAATTCTTCTCATTAAAGAGAGTCATAGATTTATAAAAATATCTATTGACATATGATTGTTTTCGTGAAAGTCAAAATACAATTCTTATTTTGAGTAGATATCGATACCTATTCGCTAGTTACATAATCTTCCTCTAAAATTTATGATTGAATTACTTTGTCTGTCACCTGATCTATATAAATAGTATAGAATGTATAAAGTGTAATCGGAATATAGAGCTTCATATAAAACAAACAAGTCAAAAAAAATTTGTTTAACTTCATTGAAATCAGAAATGAAATGAATGGAATAGGTCTTTTTTTTTACCATGTTCAATCATTTCAATTCATTTTCATTCCAATTATCAATAGGCCAGTTCAATAAAATTATGTTTACAAGATATAATATGATATGTGACTATGTTTGCGATAATGATCAAATTTCATACGATTTCATGTACGTAGTCTGCGTTTGTTGAACAAACGACCGTGCTTACGCTAATGTCTAATAGAGAGTGAATGAAAATTAACCACCTTATCAATGTAGAAAATTAAAAGAAATTACATGACGATGAAGAAGTGAACATTTTCATGAACTAAATACCATAATTGTATTTTTGATTTAGAAGTCATGAACATGATGAAAATTTATTGATTATCGAACTCCATGTTCAACCAGATTATAACTCTCTAGTAAACTTTCTCGAAAAGATGAAATCCTGGCATTCTAATTTTCAAACTAAATTTTCACATGAGTTGCTTAAGCTATTGGGATAGACATGGAAAGGAATGAAAACTTCCTTCTGATGCTGAATATCGGTATTCTATTGATGAATTTTCAGATTTCCTAAAAGAAATTGAGGAATTTTCCGCACGTCAACCATGATAAAGCAAGCAGATCTTTTTGAAAATAAACTCGTAAAAACATGTCGAAATGATTACGAAAACAAAATCATAAAAGTGTTTTCAAGCGAATATATCCTTTCAAGATTTTTGATTTAAGCTAAATGAAACTGAATTCACAGATCTTTGAAAACTTTTTTGATTCTATTCAACTCAACTCGTGAGTTAGGAAGTTTTTCTTTCAATTTGACTCAATTCAATTCGAATCATGTATTGAATTGCCCAGTTATGAATCGAACGTATAGTAACATGTAAATATATACGATAAAAAAAAAGTCATTCTACGTTTAAGAAACTCATCTAACTACTGCGTATTCTGTGAAAGTAACATATATGAAGATTGTTTGTTAGATTTCGAACAATTGTGAGCCCTTTTTCGTATGTTTCAAATATCTGAAGTATCATCTAAAATTGCCTATACTGAATTGACATCATTATTAAAAATATGTTAGAATATATTTATCAATTTTTTTTGTTAGGATAAGAACAATATTAGTCGCGCACACTCACTATGAGTCATTTTTATCATTGTGTTCTTAAATAGATTTAAACGTGATTTTTTTTACATGATGAAGATAAAAATATATTGAAAAAGAATGAACAAATAAATTTGATAAAGTTATTTAAATATTTCTACTAATAATGTACTCTCTTAGCAAGAACTGAGGTGATTACAATACCCGGTAACTTGTGGATGAATGCAACAACGAGAACGAAGTCCCGCTATTTTCTAATGGAAAAAAAAACAAATATCTATTTAAAAGGAACACTAAATGCAACAAAAAAGTAGAAAGCATTTTTCTAATCGCAAATTATTTCTGGATATTTTTTGTAACATTACTATCAGGAAATGCTACATTAGGATAAATGATATTGCTAAAAGTATTCTCTTTTAAGTGTATACGGTTCATCTGATTTCACTGATTTTAATGATCTTCGTTTGATACTCGTTGAATTTATAAACTTTCTATCGAGGCATTTCTTTTTTCGTTGATCTGAGCTATCAAATAGAATAAATTTCAAGAATAGAAATTAAACGATTGTGACTTATATTGGAGTTTTTTTTAACGATTAGCTATCGACTGATCACTTTATATTGTGCTGCTATAATTTATCGTGATGTGACAACAAAATTTGGGTTTTCTCTTACCCGATAATCAAGTAAAGTACAGAGCAGGCCTCGATATCGGATCACTTTGTGATGGTCCTCCCCCCCCCCCCCAATTGAAAATGGTACTATTAAAAGTATATTTCTTTTACAAAAAGAATTTCTACAAGATGGCACTTCACGGTCACTGCAATAATTTGTCAAAACATAATAAAAAGTTTATTATTATAGTGATCACAAGTTGAGTAAGGTGGACAATTTTAAAGCTTGAAAAAGGCTTGTTAGCGCAGTCCCTTTGTGGTTGACATGTGGAACTTCTATGTCTTCTTGAGCCTCATTATACTAATACAATTATTTCTGCATTTCAAATAGAAATGTTTCCTATTTTTATTTTGAACCGAACAGCCAAGATACATTCACAAATACATCAGCTTTTAACTTTTTAAAATTATGTTATCAGTTTTAGTATACAGTTAATATTTCCGTTTTAATAACATTCATGTCATTTAATACAGTAGATAATGTATTTGACGTTGAGCGTAGATGAGCAGTGTCATCGGACCAAATAAATGCTCTGCTTATTTATTGCCTAACTAGAACATCAGCAACGTTCGCATGATAACGACTTCTGAATATTACCGGTTGTGAGATACAAAACCCATGAAAGAAACTCTGATCAAGAATCAGAATAAAATCGATTGTCTTTAAGTAAAACGCGATTAAAATGGCGCTATTTAATTCTGATTGAAATCTGATTCTTCAACTTTAAAGATGAACTTCAATTGGTTTCAAAGTTGGAAAAAAAACGAGTTTTTATCGTATTCAATTAATATCATTTCAATCAATTTTTTAATTAGAAAAAAATCGATTAAAATCAGATTTTTTTCTATTTTCTTATGCGAGAAATCTTCCTTCAAAAAAAAATAAAGTTTGGGTCGGACGGCCCATTTCGAGATCTGTTGAATAGCTAGGAAAATAATGACATCTATAAGAATCCTACATGGAGAAATTTGAAGAACATTTAATGAGAATCTCTAAAATCTGATACATATCTGTTGATCGAAATCTTCATTATAATTGTTGTGAAAATTATGTTCGGAAGTTGCAAAAAATCACCATGTTAAGTCATCGCCAAGCGATATTAGTCGTTACAAGGAACCATTGTTGATCTCTGCATGATATTTCTCGAGTTTTCTACCTGTTTTAGGAGGAATTTTTGTTCATATCAAAATTGTAAAATGTTAACAGGATTCACTTTCGATTCTACTAAGAATTTTCGAAGAATTAGCAGACAAAATGATGATTCTGTTATGAGAATCGAATCAACAGTTGTAACTTAGATCAGAGGAAAATGTTAACCCGAGTAAATAAAATTTTCTAAACAAATTTTCTAAAACTACGCATTTTCGCTTCTTTACAAGACAATACCAATCTACAATCAAAATCTTGATCTAAAATTGAGTACAAGGATCTGCTAGTTGAGACCTTTGGAAGTTTGTGTTTTGTAGGCTATTCAATAGATCTAAATTTTTGAGGATTCTCACAAAAAAAAACGATTGTAAAGGAATCTCAACAGCAATAAATACGAGAATTTCTTTTCAAATTTTTATTTTATTCGATTCAGAATTTAACAAAATTTTGAAGTATAGGTGAATTTCATTCCGTTCAAGGTTGAATCTGTGTATGACCAAACAAAAGAACTTCTGGTGAAATTCTAGAAGAAATTTGTTTTGTTTGTCTAGAATCTTCTAAAAATTTGTCATGATATTGACTGGAGCTTTAGACTAGAAACAATAGTTATTTTTATGATTATATTTTGAAAGGG